CTTAATGTGAGTCACTCTCCTACAGTGTCATAGATGACCTTAGTGTAGAGTCACTCTCCTACAGTGCCATAGGGGCTGGCGGGCTGGGTCTGTCCTACCTCGTACTCCACACATTCAAATTCAAATTCAAATTCAGGTAAAAGCAGACATCATAACGGCGCGCTACTGAGGCCTGGGGTTACATCTTATCTATTCAACTTCATCTGTTTGTACACGCATTTCCCACTTCCTCTTTATTCCATTTTTCTTTGTGATGTGTTTATTGGTCATGAGTAGTGAGTCGTACATCACTTGAACATGCTAACGACACAATTGTGCCCAACAGTTGGAACTGTCACTGTTCTATCTTGTAGTGCAAAGGTCGCTACTTAATATGACAGTGCGATGGGTCGAGCTTCTCTACCTGCTCCACCTTCCTGCTTCACAGTCCCTCACTGTACTGTGTTCTCTAGTCTCTCACTGTACTGTGTTCTCTAGTCTCTCACTGTACTGTGTTCTCTAGTCTCTCACTGTACTGTGTTCTCTATAGTCCCTCACTGTACTGTGTTCTCTAGTCTCTCACTGTACTGTGTTCTCTAGTCTCTCACTGTACTGTGTTCTCTATAGTCCCTCACTGTACTGTGTTCTCTAGTCTCTCACCATACTGTGTTCTCTAGTCTCTCACTGTACTGTGTTCTCTAGTCCCTCACTGTACTGTGTTCTCTAGTCTCTCACTGTACTGTGTTCTCTAGTCTCTCACCATACTGTGTTCTCTAGTCTCTCACTGTACTGTGTTCTCTAGTCCCTCACTGTACTGTGTTCTCTAGTCCCTCACTGTACTGTGTTCTCTAGTCTCTCACCATACTGTGTTCTCTAGTCCCTCACTGTACTGTGTTCTCTAGTCTCTCACTGTACTGTGTTCTCTATAGCAACACACCAGGAAGGTTGAGGGCCTCAGGACTAACAACACACCAGGAGGGTTGAGGGCCTCAGGACTAACAACACACCAGGAAGGTTGAGGGCCTCAGGACTAACAACACACCAGGAAGGTTGAGGGCCTCAGGACTAACAACACACCAGGAAGGTTGAGGGCCTCAGTACTAACAACACACCAGGAAGGTTGAGGGCCTCAGGACTAACAACACACCAGGAAGGTTGAGGGCCTCAGGACTAACAACACACCAGGAAGGTTGAGGGCCTCAGTACTAACAACACACCAGGAAGGTTGAGGGCCTCAGAGCTAACAACACACCAGGAAGGTTGAGGGCCTCAGGACTAACAACACACCAGGAAGGTTGAGGGCCTCAGTACTAACAACACACCAGGAAGGTTGAGGGCCTCAGAGCTAACAACACACCAGGAAGGTTGAGGGCCTCAGGACTAACAACACACCAGGAAGGTTGAGGGCCTCAGAGCTAACAACACACCAGGAAGGTTGAGGGCCTCAGGACTAACAACACATCAGGAAGGTTGAGGGCCTCAGGACTAACAACACATCAGGAAGGTTGAGGGCCTCAGGACTAACAACACACCAGGAAGGTTGAGGGCCTCAGGACTAACAACACACCAGGAAGGTTGAGGGCCTCAGAGCTAACAACACTACACACCAAACTTGACAGGACTGACCTCATTGAACCTGTCAAAATACTGAACAGTTTGGAGGATATTGAACCAGAACACTTCTTCAGAAGGTCTGATGTACAACAAACAAGGAACAACAGTTTCAAGATCAACAAGCCACAATGTTGGACGGAAAATAAATGCTTTTTCACCCATAGAATTGTAAACCCATGGAACCGCCTACCCGCCGAAGCCGTAAATGCCAAAATGCTGCTAAATTTCTAAATACAGGTGGACAGAATCATCAAGACAAATAGGGGACTTTCGGCAAGCCGCCGGCTTCCTGTCCTTGTCGTAGCCACTAGAGATAGTGGCCATCAGGTATACCTGTGTCATGTCTGCAGGCGAGGAGTCACAATAACGAGGCTAAAGTATGTTGACCAGACCACACACTAGAAGGTGAAGGGACGACGACGTTTCGGTCCGTCCTGGACCATTCTCAGTCTACTGGAGAATGGTCCAGGACGGACCGAAACGTCGTCGTCCCTTCACCTTCTAGTGTGTGGTCTGGTCAACTGTGTCATGTCTGGTTTGTAGTGGTTAGCCCTGTGTCGTTGCATCCCGTTCTCGCACTTTCTTACAGTCAATATTGACTTATTAAATACGTGCATATGTGACATACTAAACATATTAGTTTACCTTGAAAAGCTTCATAGAAAACACCAACCTTACCTAATCTTCTTAGTATGTTAAGATAAGCATCTTATTGCTTCTTAATTACAATTATTACTTAACCTATACCTATAATAGGTATAATAGGTTAAGTAATAATTGTAATTACGAAGCAATAAGTTGCTTATCTTAACATACTAAGAAGGTTAGGTAAGGTCGGTGTTTTCTATGAAGCTTTTCAAGGTAAACTAGACCGTTCATGGCGCGAGACCCGACTTAGTTCTGGCATGACCTTTGTCGCCTGGTGTTAAATTGTCACCAAAGCCGACAAGTTGTTTAGGTGTCGAGGACTCCGTGCACGGACACAGTTGTACAGACGGGGACACACCGTAGACTTGTAGGGTTGACTAACCAGTATTGCTGGAAGGGTTAAGACTGGCCACAATGACTCTTGTGATAACGATACCATTGGTAGACAAAGGTGTAGCCACTAGAGCATCACGCCTATGATATGGATCACCATAATCTCTCGTCTCATCTTGCTTAATGCAGCCTCAAGCAGTTCCCTGCAGGCGGCCTGAGTAATGTGGAGCATGCCAGCTCCATCACACTCCAGGGACAGTCTCACCTCACCACCTTTACTCTCTGCCTCCTCCCAACCTCCTTACTCTCTACTGCTCAGCAATTACAACACAACTTCTTTCTGGAATATATGAAAGCATTACTGCCTAAAGAAACATTTGCCATGATAATAATAATATTAATAATACAGAATGCGGCTGGCAGTGCCTTGGTCGCGGGTTCGAGTCACCTCAGAGGCGCAGTGGATTTTGTCAATAATAATAATACACAGAGAAATCACACTAACGTGATATATATCAATGAGAAAGTCAACTGGAGCTGTGAGGTGACTCGAACCCGTGACAGAGAGTATTCCAGCCGCCGACACTAACCACTGGAACTGCTAAGGACTGCAAAACGGTACAAAATGACCGTAACTAACTGCAGGAGTGGACAAACAAGGTAGTTGCTGGAGTCTAATCCTAATAAATGTAAGGTAATGAAGATGGGTAAGGAAGAAAGAATACCAGAAAGCACCAACACCATCAATGGGAGACAAGTACAGGACTCTGAGAGAGAGATCTGGGAGTGGATATCAGTCAACCACCAACACCAGAGCCACACACAGGCACGGTAACATCAACGGTATATGCAACACCACCAAATATTACAGCCTCGTTTAGAAACCTAAATCAAGACGCCTTCAAAGCAATCTACACAACTTGTGTTAGACCAGTACAGGAGTATGCAGCACCTGCCTGGAATCCATACCTTGTGAAACATAAGAGTAAATTCGAAAAAGGTGCAGAGTTTTGTTACTAGGTTAGTGCCAGAGCTTAAAGGGTTAGGCTTTGAGGTTTTCACAACCTTGGAGGATAGACGAAATAGAAGAGATATGATAACAGCGTACAAGATACTGATGGTAATAGACACAGTAGACAAGGACAGCCTCTTTAAGTTAAGAGACAGTAGAGGACACAATTGGAAGCTGGAATTGTAAATGAGTGGAAGTAATGAGTAAGGAAATACTCGCACCCAGTATGGGTGGTAAGCAAGTAGAATGTACTAAGGAACTTGTGGAAGCTCCTTCCATTCACAACTATAAGGGAAGGTTCGACAATGATAGTGATTGTTAGAATAGTGAAGCTTTAACACAACGGCTACAACAAGGCTAGTTAGCTGGCCATAATTAAGTGCTAGACCACACTTCCTCATAGTCATGATAGGCTAGTACTGCACCACCCCTGATTTGGTAAGGATAATAAAACCGCATTTCTACTGAAATCCCATTGAAATCTCATTTATATATATATACATCACGTTAGTGTGATTTCTCTGTGTATCTGATGTTGAATTGTAGGGTAGATAAACTACCTTGCCTACACCCGGGCGCTGGAGGTCTTATATATAACACTTGGACTGGCTTCACCAAGGCTCTCCACACTTCCTGTGATTTATGTAGAAATCTGGCTGTATGACTTCCCAAGCCAGGGTGTTCCAATTAATAAAAAGATCGCCACAGCATGTTTAAAAGCCCGTTTCTGCCCGAAACGCTTTGCTAAAAGTGGCTTTAGGCATTGTATGTACTAGCTCTATCTATAAATCCATCAACTTTTCTATCTTACCTTGTATGTATGTACTTTACCTGAATAAAAATTTGTATTTGTTGTATTTGTATTTGAAAGATAGGTAAAGATTTACCTACTTAAATTTACTAAAATTTACAAAAAGATTTACCTACTTAAATTTTTTTTAGATTATAAGGACCTGCCCGAAACGCTGCGCGTACTAGTGGCTTTACAAGATTGTAATTACTATATTATGTATTCTCACAACCTCAATGTACCTTCTTGTATATATATAAATAAATAAATAAACATTCAATACTGCCCGAAACGCTTTGCGTAATAGCTTTAGGCATTGTATGTACTAGCTCCATCTATAAATCGATCAATTTATGTAAAATCTCTTGTATGTATGTACCTTACCTGAATAAACATTTTATTTTATTTTATTTAAAAAAAAAGTTTTAGTGTGACGTCACTGATGAGGCGGTATGCGTGACGTCACTGATGACGTAGTGTATTATGAGAGTTGTTTACCTTAGGGTGTCCAGGCCACTCTTGGGTGCTCTCCTCCTCCTCCTCCTCCACACTACTACAACAACCTCTTGACTGGCTTACTCTTCACCAGTCAACCAGCTTACCATGGTAGTAGCGTGTAGAGCTGTTAGGAGGTACAGAGGTGTAGTTGGTGGTGTGACTTAGATCAATAGGAAGGTGTAGTGTGGGTGTTGGCACACATGTGGGGGGGGGGGAGGTGAGTGATAAGGACACACACTCACACTCCTGCCGGTCATAAGCTCACAGATAACACCTTCCTCACACTCGCAATATTGAGGTCAATTACTGAATTTTGGGTGATTGTTGAAGAGTGGATTGTTAGGTTATAAGGGTGGTAAGGTGAGCTCTTATTCCAACACGTCCTGGTGCAGTCATCCGGAGGACAAACCCTTCATGTGCACCTACTATCAAGAAGAAGAACTCTTATTACTGTTACTTGCCACCATTATTGGTAATATTTCTGTACCTCATCCAGGTATTGTATAATCCAGGTGGACAACAGGCTTGAGGAGCCACTGAAACATTTCACTACATTCAATACTTTTTTTTTCAAGTATTGGAAATTTTATGATATTTTGTTTCCTTTTTTTCAGGACAACCTTTCTTTTGTTTGGATAATGTGGTAGAGATGTTGAGACCTAAAAGAATAGAGTATAACCATAGAGTAGCATAACATCTTATTCCCAGGACCATGGCTGGCTCGGCTGCCGCACCAACATCCTTGGTCGAGATCTCTGTATCCTGCAGGTAAGCTCTCCTTTTATGCCTGTTGCAAGATAAAGGTAGCTTATCTGTATTTGCCTATAGTAACTACAGTGTGTCCTCACTCTAATGAACTATGTTGGGTGAGGCCGATTCATTCCATAAGGAATTTCATCAGACTCCTCAGACCTCGCAGTTTGCTTTTTACATTTCACTAACCTTTCTGGTTGGTTTCCTCTGTTTTGGATAGTTCTCTGATCCCCCAAGTTCCCCCTAACCTTGGTGAGTGAGCCAAATTGTGGTCCTGGCTGCTGGTAGATCAGCATGGCTCTCAGAGGCCTGGCACAATATATAAGCTTACAGTACTGATACCAGTTCGTAAGTACTGGTGAGCTTCTGAGGTCCTACCAGAAGAGGGCACTTCATTATATAATATGTGTGATTTATTTGAAATAGCATGCAACTCTATATGTGTCTGGCCCATTTTTTTGTAGTTAGCAGGGCTTTCTAATTTTTATAAATATCTATACACAATATAATTATTTGTATTTTTCCACAGGAACCTACGGGATACTGATGTCTTCTCCAAATCTGATCCTATCTGTGTGTTGTTTTACCAACCTTTTGGAACAAAACAATGGGAAGAGTTTAAACGAACTGATTGTGTTAGTAACTCTCTCAATCCAGATTTTGCTACAAAAATTCCTATTACTTATCACTTTGAAGAGCAGCAACACCTAAAATTTTTGATTTATGACATTGATTACAATTCTAAGGACCTTGATCACCATGATTTTCTAGGAGAATATGAGTGCACTCTTGGTCATTTAGTTAGTTCTCATACAGTTCATAAACCTTTGATTAATAAGAATTACAGTGGCAATAATGGCTCTATCCTGATAATTACAGAAGAACTTAGTTCATGTAAAGAAGAGCTTAATCTGCAGGTTGTTGGCAAGAATCTTGAAAATAGGAGTTGGTTTTTTTCTATAAATCCTTTCCTTGAGTTCTTTAAAGCAAACGAAGATGGGACGTTCATTCTGGTCCACCGCACAGAGACGTCTCATAGTACACAAAACCCAGTTTGGAAGGATTTTTCCGTACCTTTACGAAGCTTCTGTAATGGCGATTATGATCGTAACATACAAGTAAGCTGCAAAGATTTCAAATCAAATGGAAATCACAAACTTATTGGAAATTTTTACACTACAGTACGAAAACTCATTGAAGGGCCGGGCCCGAGCAACACATATTGGCTCATCAATGAAAACACGAAGGTAAGTGTGCACAACCTAACTGAGATTGCTTATTAGTTTATATTTTGTTAAGTATGGTTGTTCGTACTCGACTGGGTGCTAGGTATGCTTGTACTCGACTACTGTATCCTGTTTGCGAGGTTTGAGCTCTAATTTCTGTGTAGTTACTGCAGTAGTTAAAGGATTACATATGTGCTCATTGTGTCCCATCTTTCCAATATTGTCATTTTTGTGGGGAGCCCCAGAGGCTTCCCGAAGCTATCCCACTGAAAGTGCTATATTATTTGGGGTTATCAGTCGCAGAGTTCTTGTTGCCTACCAGGAACCAGAGCCAGAACCTGGCCAATAATAAATAAAGATAAAGTTTAGGAGTATCTTTTCATCCTGTTTGGAGTGGATTAGGTTATTAACCTAAGACCACAGATTTTCAATTATTATTTGCTGGGAAATATCTTCCCTGGGGGCCGGGCCTACCTATTTCCACTATTTTAGGAACTCCTTGACTTTAGCTATTGATCCTCACAGAGCAACCATTTGCTCTCTTTCATAACACCTTCTCTGTGGGTGGTTAGCTTCAGAGAGCCGATGGAGGTCCCTGCATTGATTGTAATGAAACGCCTGTTTCTGGGTGAGCCCCGGAGGCTCACTGACACCCCTCCCCTCCTTCTGGTTGGTAGATTTCATCATTCGAGAACTGGAGGGTGGGTAGCTCTAACGAGTTGAGGGCTAGTTAAATAAAGTGTTGCGTGTTTGTTTTCTTTCTGGGAAAATTCTTTTGCTCTACTGAGGATGTAGGTCTCACTATTCAATCAGTAGTCTGTTTTGTTTCACCTACCTCTCTCGGTGTCTTCTCTGGTTGATGGCAAGTATGACATAGTGATACCTCGGGTTACGAACGTCCCTGTATACGAACTTTTCGGGTTACGAGCCCGGTTTGTTCGGAGGATTTGAATCGGGATACGAACTTTGCCTCGGGATACGAGTTTGTTGATACGCGTACGTCAGACCTAGCGCATGGTGGCACAGCGATCGCACCTCAGTTTATCAGTGCCTCATGCCCAGTGACTATCCCGCCTGAATTCTTCACAAGAATTTACAGTTTTTGTCGTATTTTTGGCCATTGAGTATAAAAGTTGTTATTATATATCTCGCCATGGGTCCCAAGAAAGCAGGTGGTAAGGTTCAAGGCAAGAAATCACATGTGAGAATGACCATAGAGGAAAAACGAAAGATCATTCGTAAGCATGAAAATGGTACTAGTGTTGTTGAACTAGCTAGGCAGTACAACAAATCTTCAGGGGAGGAAGAGGAGGCAGTAGAGAATATCCCTTCCTCATTAATTAAGAAAATGTGTGCAGTATGGGAAGGACTGCAAAATTTTGCTGAAAAGAATCGCCCAGATAAAGCTGTAGTAGGCCGTTGCATTGTGATGCCTCACTGCAGACAAAGAGTTGCAAAGAAGGGAAAAACAATCTTCAATGGAATGTTTCCTTGTGAGAAAATCAAGCAGTGAGCCACAACCAGGACCTAGTGGTATGTAGGCAAAATGTTCCAGAGAGTGCACGCCAGAGAAATCTTCACTGCCTGATGTTTTAATGGAAGGGGACTCCCCTTCCAAACAGTAACACCTCTCCTCCTCCCCCCTCCTCACCATCTTCCATACACTAACAGGAGTCATCAGCAAGGGTAAGTAATAGCTTGAACATACTTTTGTTGTGAAGATTTGGGTGAATTAGGTATAAAATTTACTTTGAAGGGAAGTTTTTGGGGAGTCGGGAACAGATTTATTCATTTCCCATTATTCCTTATGGGGAAATTCGCTTCGGTTTACAAATTTTCGTGTTACGAACCGTCTCCAGGAACAGATGAAATTCTTAAACCGAGGTACCCCTATACTTTAAATATAAAGTGTTCATAGGCTCTTGCTCCTTGTGCCTCTGAGGGTGACTGGATTCGTGCTCATGGTTCTGAGTAGGCATATGAACTCTGTGACTGATGATGCCAAATAATATAGCACTATATCAGTTTGGATAGCTTTAGGGAGCCTCTGAGGCTTGCCCAGAAACTGGCATTTCATTAAGTTCAACGCTGGTTTTTTCTATGATTTATAGATGAATTTCACTGAGCAAAATTTTTATTTTGCTCAATGAAATTAAAAATTATAAAATTGAAATTATTTCAAAATGATATATTTTTAATATACAGGTATTTTTATTTTATTCATCAATATGCTGTTATGTAATGCTATTAATTTGGTAGTTGTGGCGTGGGTTGTTATGCCCCACATGTATGGTATTGCATTTGTCGATATTTAAAAGCTTTTCCCAGTCTTCTGACCATTTGTGGAGTTCGTGTAAATCTCTTTGTAAGGCTTCAGTATCGTTATTATTTCCCACTTTATCATAAATCTTTGTGTCATCTGCAAATTTGATGATGATGTTTGTAATATTCTAGCCTATATCATTGATGTACTATACAGTATATGACAAAAAGGGTAGGTCCCAAAATGGACCCTTGTGGCACCCCACTTATCACATTTTTCCATTCCGAGTCATTTCCATTTAACACGACCCTTTGTTTTCTTTCCTTCAACCATCTGGGGTAGGGGTTTGACAGCTGAGTGGACGGCGCTTTGGATTTGTAGTCCTGAGGTTCCGGGTTCGATCCCCAGTGAGGGCGGAAAGAAATGGGCAGAGTTTCTTTCACCCAGATGCCCCTATTTACCTAGCAGTAAATAGGTACTTGGGAGCTAGACACCTGCTATGGAATGCTTCCTGGGGGGGTGTGTAACAAAAAGGAGACCTGGTCGAGGACCGGGCCACGGGGATGCTAACCCCCAAAATCATCTCAAGATAACCTCTAAAGAAGATAACCATTGTTTTATCCTTAATATTATTTTACCATTTATTCCATTGGTCTATAATTTCTTTGCCAGTCTTTCATGTGGTACCTTATCAAAAGCTTTAGCAAAATAAGTACAGTATACTACAATCACCGGAAGGCCTTTGTCTGAGTAGCTGGTTACCTTTTTTAAAAAATGTGAGCAGATTTGTAAGGCATGATCTGTTTTTTACACACCCATGTTGTGTCGATTGAACAAAGTTGTTCACTGAAAGATGGTGAATAATTCCTTCCCTGAGGATACTCTCCATGAGCTTACAGATGTGTGATGTCAAGCTGATCGGCCAGTAGTTTTCTGCCGAGCTCTTTCTGCCTTTTATGAAAATAAGGGTAACATTTGCATACTTCCAATCTTTTTCCAATCTCTATATTGCATATCTCCAATTCCAATAATATTTCCAGTTTTACATCATGAAGACCAGTGACATGTCTTTCACAAAGGCCCGATGACCTTCACACACCTCTAACTCTTTCTTGGGTTAGAGGTAATTTTGGATTTTTTGTTTATTAATCCCCATAAAAACAGCATTTATGCAGCTATTGATCAATATTCAGAACTTCAACCTTGACATGAAAATTAGCATGTGATCACTGTACTGTACTGTTCTTTTTATTCTGTTTTACTTCAGTATGTTTACAATGAAATAGTGTTTCTTAACTCCCATAAAGTAAGTTTTGCAACTGCATTTCAAAATTTAATGGAAAATTGTTTACCTGCATAATCTCTCATCCATATAATGCAATACCTAACATATCATGGGCCATCTGTACAATTATTTATTTATTTTAAATAAAATAAAATTGTGTTTATTACTGAATTCTCTTTACAGAGGAAGAAAGGTAATAGCTACAAGAACTCTGGAGAGGTGATGATTAATAAAGCCCATGTTCATGAGATTTTCTCTTTCATCGACTACATCAAGGGTGGCATGGAGATAAATGCCTTTATTGCCATCGATTTCACAGGTTTGTAGCAATATTGTAGGTGTTACACCCTTTTCATCGGCCTTGTTTATGCTTTCATTTTGTGTATACACTTGTTAAAAATAGATGTTTATACACATCTATTTTGAAGCTCCTGGCCCCAGGAAAGGGCTGTTTATAATCAGGATCGGTTGACATCTGAACTAGTGCAGCAGGATCTTTTCAAACCATCCCTGCCGAGTCATAATTCCAGTGGGCACAATATTCAGGAGTAGCATTAGTACAACGTTCAATCAATGTTATCAATATTTATTCAGTATTGAATCGCTGTTGAAGATATTGATTTGGTGTTGAATTGGCATTGCTCTTGGATATTGTACCTACTGGCATGGTGCTCTGGAGATACTGGAAAATAATACAGCCTGGAATGACTGCCAGAAATCACATTCCAAAAACTCAAACCCCTCAAAAATTAATGGCTAAGCTAGGACCATCAATTACTGTTCTTGCAAACTGCTAGTTACCATGCCCAACCACTACACTATGCTACAGAAAGGTGGCAGCACCTGTCAAATTGAGTCGGTGGTTCTCCTTACTTGAGCTACCTAACAATGTGACTGGCCTCCATGCTGGTTATTGGACAGGTGTTCCATCAGAATTGTTAAGTGACTTTGATAGTAGGTACCAGCTGGTAAGTCCAGTAGAACTTCTGGTTTAGATACTTTTAGCCTGTTATGATACAATGTATAGTGGATGTTTCTGAGTAGTCCAGAGAGGCAAGTTCTATCTTGTTCATTGCCACAATATTTTCTCTCAAATACTGTATAAGCACTGGAAATCTCAGTTTCTTGCTAGTGTGAAGGGTAAGAAGGTCCTATGTTTAATGGAGGAGAATCTGGCTCTTACAATGGACTTGGAAGTCTTGACCAGAAGGGTTATGCTAGTAGCCCATAGGTGCTACTAACAAAACTTCAGTTGTCATGTCAAGTGTGCAGCCTACCTTTGCCCTCCTCTGGGCCCTCCCTTCTGGTCCTCCTGTCCTGGGTGTGGATAGTTTCTGGTCCTCCTGTCCTGGGTGTGGATAGTTTCTGGTCCTCCTGTCCTGGGTGTGGATAGTTTACTAGGGCACTCGGTGGGATTGGGATTTAGGTAAGTCAGGGTACCCTGTGTTTGAGGTGCTGCTGCTTGGTGTGCAAGTGTAATGGCCAAGCAGAGCAACTAGCAGTCGTCGTCGTCGGCGGCGGCGGCGGCTGCTGCTGCTGCTGCTGCGGCGGCGGCGGCGGCTGCTGCTGCTGCTGCTGCTGCTGCTGCTGCGGCTGCTGCGGCTGCTGCTGCTGCTGCTGCTGCTCAGCCGATAGAGCTGTTGCCTCACACGTGTGGGTCCGTAGTTCGAGTCTTCTAGAGCCGAGGTGAATTAAATTATTATTATTATTATTACTACTGTATTATCAATTATTATTATTATTGTTAATTAGTATTATTATCATATAATTTGTTACACAGAGAAATCATATTGTGATATATCAATGAAAAAATCCACAGGAGACGTGAGGAGGATTTGAACCTATGTGCTGGTTATTCCCAGATGCAAGGTCTAGACGACTACACCAGGACATTGTCATGGTCTAGTCATTTAGAGCGTGCATCTGAGAATACCCAGTGCATAAGTTTGAATCTTTGTCACAGCTCTTGCGGATTTTCACATCATTTATTGTTATAATTTTTTATTTAAATTATTATTTTTATGGCAAATACAGAATATATTTAGGATAAAACTTTTGTGAATATAAAGCCTTGGGCTGGACTGACCCGTATTGGTCGAAGATGCAAATCTCATCCTAGGCTGCAATTTGAGACCTTGGCCAACGTCCCTAGAAAGCTGGTTCCAGATCGTGTAATATTTGACCGGGTCGTCTGACGTTGAAAACAGGTGCCTGGATTAAGTAAATGCTGCCACAGGTTGTTGATGGCATTAACTGGCACCCCTGGTAGTAGTAGTACCAAAAATTTGTAATTATGCTTTGTTCAAAGCTCATACTCTTGTCTTGTACCAATTTCTAACATTTTTGGTTACGTAATTAAGAAACGTGTTGATTTGCATGTTGTAATTTGTTATGTACAAAAGATTATTTATATTTAAGTACGTATTGTATTGGAGTAAATTTACTAGTTTGGAAAAAGAATTTTTTTTATATAAAAGTTTTCTTCGTGTTAGTCTTATTCGCTACTTTCAGTCCAATAATGATTAATGACAAAATGTGAAAATAGCATTCTTTTTCTTATTATAAGAAAATGTAGAAAGAACAGCATAAACTAGGAAAGGCACCTTTCTGGATGGCTTCCTTGGTCGATGGCAAGATGACATAATTTAAAGTGTTCATAGGCCATTGCTGTGGCCTCGCCCGGAAAATAGCGTTTCATTATATTCAACACTTTTTTTTTTCTACAGCATCAAATGGTAATCCACAGTCACCACAGTCTCTGCACTTCATCAACCCAGTGGCTCCAAATCAATATGTTCAAGCTATTCAAGCAGTTGGACACATTATTGAAGATTATGACACAGATAAACACTTTCCAGTTCTTGGCTTTGGAGCCAAGATTCCTCCAAGTTACGATGCAGTGTCTCATGAGTTTTTTGTCAATGGGGATGCATCAAATCCTTACTGTTTTGGAGTTCAAGGTTAGCATTTAAAATTTGTTCTGCAATATCAATAAAAAGTCCTAATTGTACTGTTCTTGAGTTTAATTTGCAAGTCAAACTTTGCAAGTATTAATCTTATTAAAGTTAAAATTAAGGAGTTTTGTATGCATTGTGAAAAATTGTATCTATTGACCATTAAATCAGAGTTTTAAAAATGCTAGTATATTTACATGCGGTATAAATTAAATCATAATTATTATATTTGTTATATAATTTGTTTGTTATATAATTTATAATGTGTTATATTAGTTTCTGCCCGAAACGCTACGCGTACCAGTGGCTGTACAAGAATGTAACAACTCTTGTATATATCTCAAAAAAAAAAAATATGGGTAACTTATAACAACTATGTTGTAAGTCTGTTATATATTTCTAAAGTGGTATAAACTTAGCATAAATATATATGTTTAAGCCAAGCTTAAGTATGTTATGTTTCTAAACTTATACAGCTTAGAAAAGTATTAAGTTGTTATACTGCAGCTCAAGGCGAGGTAGTTTAGAGCCCCAAACCAACAACAGAGGCCAGGAGGCTGAACAGAGGCCAGGAGGCTGAACAGAGGCCAGGAGGCTGAACAGAGGCCAGGAGACTGAACAGAGGCCAGGAGACTGAACAGAGGCCAACAGCAAAGACATACCCATGGCCACAGCAGGAGGAGCAATAAGGGAAGGTTACCTTCAGGTGCTTCCGGGGCTTAGCGTCCCCGCGGCCCGGTCGTCGACCAGGCCTCCTGGTTGCCGGACTGATCAACCAGGCTGTTGGACGCGGCTGCTCGCAGCCTGACGTATGAGTCGCAGCCTGGTTGATCAGGTAGGTTGGTTAAGAACAAGTAAAAAATACCAGTTTCAAATTATTCCTCATGAAAAAGAGGAGGTTTCTCTTCCTCTAAGTCAGCAACAGTCCAAACAGAGATCCAACAACAGCAGACCTAAGGGAGAAGAACCCCTGAACCCAATAGGCAGAGCGACGGAGGCAACGGGAATGGCCATGTGTCCAAAATGTAGACTTGCATCCTGTATAGCTGCAAACAGCAAAGTGCAGCTCTAGATTGTATGGTAAATTTATTGTAACCCAGCCAATGAATGAGGTAAACAATCCCTCAGATGTAATGGCAACAGGCTGTCCAAGTCATCAATAAATGGATGGAAGTGGCAGGTGCAAGACAAGTGAAAGTTGCCTTCACACACATTGAACCCAGTAACTCTCAAACAAGGAACTGTGTATGTTGCCATCGAATACCAGGGCAACTCAAAAGGAGAAGCCCAAAAAGGACACCCAAACCCATCAGAGAAGGTAGTTCTGAGGGGAAAAGGGAAGTGCCAACTAAGAAAACCATTGAACAAAGTTGAAGTAAACTAACTAGTTAGGGACATGCAAGGCAGGTAGCATTATGAGGGTGTCTGTGGTACTAGAGTCTTATGGACTAAATACTAACTGAGGGCCAGCCTCAAAATACATATGTTTAGAATAACATATAAAATTCAACATGAAATTTGACATGTCAAAACATTGTTGTATTAAACTGGTTAACCTTAACCCTGCTTCTCTCTACAGGAGTTGTTGATGCTTACTATGGGTGTATAAATCGTGTTCAACTCTATGGGCCCACCAATTTTGCTCCCATCATCAATCATGTTACCCGCTTTGCTATCTCTAATCAGACTGGGGACAAATACTTCATTCTTCTCATCCTTACTGATGGTATCATCACTGATATGGCACATACTAAAGAGGTAAGTTATCAGTTTTTGCCATAATTGGTCCAGTGCCATAATTTGCCATAATTTAGTCAGTCTCCGTGGTGTAGTGGTAAGACACTCGCCTGGCGTTCCGCGAGCGCTATGTCATGGGTTCGTATCCTGGCCGGGGAGGATTTACTGGGCGCAAATCCTTAACTGTAGCCTCTGTTTAACGCAACAGTAAAATGTGTACTTGGATGAAAAAACGATTCTTCGCGGCAGGGGATCGTATTCCAGGGACCATAGGATTAAGGACTTGCCCGAAACGCTACGCGTACTACTGGCTGTACAAGAATGTAACAACTCTTGTATATATCTCAAAAAAAAAACAAAAAAAGTGGTTACAGTGCTCTGTTGACCATGAGGTGATCAATACAGTAGTTATTTTTTAGTAGATTATATATATATAAATATATATATATAAATATAAATATATAAATATAAATTATATATATATATATATATATATATATATATATATATATAATATGGAAGGGAGTACCACCTCTAGCTGGAAGAAGGGGGACCCATAGCCTCGGAGGAAACCACGCATAACGCATTAGAGGAAGACGGGTCGGGTGGATCACCGACCTTTTGCACGCCGCGAGAGCCGCCCCCCACGAATGGGAGGGGCTCGTCTCTACGACCGTCGCAGGGCAGCCAGGACACCGGCGGTTTCGCCCACCGGACAAGAGGAGAAGCCGAAGCCGCATCCCCAGCCGGTAGGGTACCAATCCGTCCGGGCCTTCGACGTCCCCAAAAGCAACGGGTCGCGGCGACCTACTGTGAGGCGAAATATATATATATATATATATATATATATATATATATATAAATATATAATATATATATATTATTATTATAAAAGTAGTGTGAAAAGGTCCTATCATGGGGTTGTTTTGCTTTTCCCAGTGGCACCTTGTAGGGCCCCTTACATTTTTTTTGAACGTCAATGACGGCTACCACCTGCGATGTAGGTGCCATCAGTCTCGGAGTTCTCTGGCTTACCAGGGACATAGTGCCAGAAACTGGTAACCCCCCCCCCCTCACAGAGACACGGGGGAACTGTGGCAGTTATATTCAAGTTATTCATTTATGCCATCACCAATGGAAGCACCCAGAAAGTCAACGAGACAAAGCAAACCACACATGGCTGCTTCTGATACCTGCAGACTTGAAGATGGTCATGGCCCCAAACTATGTAAACAAATGTTATAGTATAGATAAGTGAAGTGTTTTAAGTACTGAAACATCCTTAATCTTTTAATGCCTTTGTAGCCAACACTCTACTCCTAAAGATGTGATCCACATGACATCATTCTTATATCAGTCACTCTTATTCTTCAGTTTAACTCTTGTAGTTTTCAACATTATTTTTACTACTTATTTCCAAGCTTTTATAAAGTTTAAAGAAACAGGAAACAAAATAAGAGGTCATTTGCTGAATTTTTAAATACAGTATATTTCAGTGATTACATTATTCCCAGCTAATTACAATAATTCAATTTATCTTTTATTTACAGGCAATTGTTAATGCTTCATCCTTGCCACTGTCAATCATCATTGTGGGAGTAGGTGGAGCAGAATTTGACAGTATGGAAGAACTAGATGGAGACGTTGTGCGACTCTCCAGTAATGGTCAGTATGCTGCTCGTGACATTGTGCAGTTTGTGCCTTTCAGGGACTTCCTGAGGGGCAGTGGGGATCCTCTCACAGCTGGGCTTAGACTAGCTAGGGAAATACTTGCAGAAGTTCCTACTCAAGTTTTGTCATATATGAAAGCTAATAATATTAATCCACAGCCACCCAAGGTCAGTGATGTCCCGTTGCCATTAAACCTTCCTTGATCACCCAGCTACATTCTCTCACAAATGACAGACATACTAAGCTGACGTACCTTTGCATAATTAACTCTCCTTAGTCAAGATAGGAAACATTTTTATGTACCTAGATATGTATTATATTTTTATATTTATAAAATTCTTCTATATTGATGACCCAATTTATGTTCCATAAGACAAATTGTTATTAAAATCAAATTCCTCTATCTGTTTTAACTTTTAGGTGTTGTTTAACTACCGTAGGTATGGAGACATGTTTCTGCCTTTGTGGAACCCATTAATTAATTAATACAAAATGTGATGTGGTAACTTGAGTAAGGCACTGAAGATTGTTTAAGAGAGAAAAGACATAATTGTTTTAATTTTTTTTACAGATGAATATAATTGTTGATTTAATGAATATTTTGTCATGATCTATGTCTATAAATTATCCTGTCTTATCAAATGTTTTCTGTTTTTTTGTTGTTACACATTGTAGAGATTCTTCACATCTTGAGGTTTAACACTACAGTAGATACAGATACTATACATCTTAAGGTTTAACACTACAGTAGGTACAGATACTTCACATCTTAAGGTTTAACACTACAGTAGGTACAGATACTTCACATCTTAAGGTTTAACACTACAGTAGGTACAGATACTATACATCTTGAGGTTTAACACTACAGTAGATACAGATACTATACATCTTAAGGTTTAACACTACAGTAGGTACAGATACTTCACATCTTAAGGTTTAACACTACAGTAGGTACAGATACTATACATCTTGAGGTTTAACACTACAGTAGATACAGATACTATACATCTTAAGGTTTAACACTACAGTAGGTACAGATACTTCACATCTTAAGGTTTAACACTACAGTAGGTACAGATACTTCACATCTTAAGGTTTAACACTACAGTAGGTACAGATACTATACATCTTGAGGTTTAACACTACAGTAGGTACAGATACTTTACATCTCAAGGTTTAATAAAGCTATGAAGACCAAAAACTACAGCAACATTGATTGAACAATAAACACTAAACCAAGATATTATAAGTGGAAAACATTATCATATTTTGGTTTGTATTGGGCCATTGTAATTTCCAGAGTGGATAAAACAATGCTTTGAGTAATATTGCTAGTATATTGTTGGCTTTAAAATTTAGTAAGTGCCAGGGTCTATACTTTTAAAAGATCAACTTTTGAAAATTAAGGGAAGTAATACTATTACTCTCTCCATTATTTTATACATATTCAGCTGAATCGTATCCTTTATCAGACTTCAAAATACTCACGTCTTATTGTTTTTTCTTGTTAATAAATTTTAACATGCTCTTTATTCTTAATTCAGAAGATGAAGCAGGTGAAAATGTTGACATTAATGGTGATAAACGAATATGAGGTTATCTTGAGGTTATCTTGAGATGATTTTGGGGCTTAGCATCCCCTCGGCCCAGTCCTTGACCAGGCCTCCTTTTTGTTACACATCCCCAGGAAGCAGCCCGTAGCAGCTGTCTAACTTACCTCTTTACTGTTAGGTGAACAGAGGCATCAGGGTGAAAGAAACTGCCCATTTGTTTCTGTCTTCACCTGGGATCGAACCCGGAACCTCAGGACTACAAATCCCAAGCGCTGTCCACTCAGCTGTCAGGCCCCATAGCATGCTCATGATGATAGCGTAAGAGGAGTAGAAAATTTGGATGTTGAGTTATGCAAGGAACTCTACTTTAAATTGCATTACAATATTAGCCATCAAGTAATGGTGTAATAATATGAAGAACAATTACTGTGAATACTGTTTTGAGGAAAGCTAGTTCAAAAGTAAGGGACTGAATCTTTGATAACATTTATAGCATTTGAATAAAGGATGTAAATGGGGTGATAGATGATATAGTTAAAGACCTTGGCTGGAAAAGATAACATTTCTAAGGTTCATGTGCACAGACAAAATCTCTTTAGTTTATTCAGTTTGTTCTGGTACAGTGTAGTGTGGATGGAACTAGTCCACCTTGTTTTGTTTATATTGAGGATACAGATTAGTTTTAGAAGGAAGTTTTCACTTGATTTTCATATAATATTTGGGTGGAAGGTTGTAATAGAAGTTAATTACAGTACATTGTTAAAAGTTAAATACAGCATTATTACAAAAGTAAAAGGAAGTCTGAAATATTTTAGAAAATCTAGGTACATTGTATGAGAGAGAGAGAGTGTGTGACAGTTACAGCATTAAGATGTTTGCAAGAATGTATTATACTGTCATGAGTTTTGCTCAAAGCATGTGGAACTGGAAATGGCAAATTATTTAGATCCAATAAGTACCTGCTAGAGGATTTTATATTTTCATCTTCAAAGTTAGATAACATCCCTTTATATGTATATTTCATGTTATCTTTTTGCTAACTTTTTGAATCTCTCGAACATTACTTTTGTGCATCATTTATTTTTTAATTCATTATTCAAATTTCCAGTAATGTCTACCTCAAAACTTATAGATTGTCCCCCATTAATTGAGGAAGCATGTACTGTAGGTGTGGCATCATCACTCCTGACACTATGTATCCTGTGAGTGCTACTTGGATACCTTGTCTGCTGTCTGAAATTACTTTATTGGGACCACCTCTGTGTGCAGCAGTGTAAGGACTGAAGGACCGAAGGATCGAATGCTCACAGTGGTTATCAACAGGGGTAAAATGCTTAGAGAATTTACAGTGAATTTTGTCAGATATAGGTTGTGTCTGACTCAACCTACTGAAGCAGGGAATCAGAGAATCGGGTACATCAAAAGTTTTTGATGTGGTGCTAGTATAATGTGGATTCCGTTTATGGGGATAGTAGATTTATATATGAGAGAGAAGGGTTCACTGATACACCATGTGTAGCTCTTGTATACAAATTTATTAAACATAAACAACACAAAAATATTTACACATGGATGGGGGGAACAATTGTCTTTACAGTGTGTTGTATAAGCAAATCTATGCACAGTATCTGTGTGCGTTGACTATACTCAAGATATGAAAGACCCTAGCTTAACACTTCAATTTTGCACGCTCCACTAATAATGGCTGCCTAATACCACTGCCATATTCCATAGACATTCAGGAGCTGAAATGATACTCGGGAGTAAATTCCATGCACATAAAGCTGATGCATGGGATAATAGTCACAGACACATGTTTGGTCATGGACCAGCACTGCATGTGAAATGTCACTTTGAATACCCACGCCAGACTGAGAAGAGCACCACCAGGCTCATTGCGTTGCATTTGAGCCCACGAAATGTGAGTAAATAGCATACGCAATAAAAAATTTACTCACAAGAATTCGCATGCGTACACATTCACATGAGCACACTTCGTTGTTGTCATTATGAATCATTTATACCACCACAGGAATCGTCCACAGGTGATATGTTTCTGGAGGTAGTAACTAGCTTGTAGGTAATATATGACTTGAAGTTCAGGGAGTCTGTCTTTCCTCTTCAATACTCGTCCCAAGAATGCTGTGACAGCTGGATCTAGGTAACCAAGCTCACACCTCACATCTCGTAATGGAGACCATCACGCACAACACCAGTCAGAATATAGTTTCCACCACAACTCGACACCTGACTTGGTGAACTATGGGTCACTCGGATGTCACTGGGAGTCGTAGGGAAGGGTCAGTTCGGCTGTAGGAGAGGTCGGGTTCAAACCTTGACCTTCCCCCTGCTACCTGCCTCATTCTGTAGCACAAAATATGGCTGTGATGCATGACACAAGCGAGATGTATAACTCTTTTCATCTGCTTGCATAACCAGAAGTAGTACGTGTTCACTCATATTCCAACCGAGATGTAAATGGCATTACTGATCCAAAGATACCCAACACGGGGGTACTGTGACCTGGCATAAATGTAATATAATTTTCACAGTGCATAGCACTGCAGTGATGCTACCCCTCACAAAAAGTGTATATATGCTAAACAATACTAAATATTCTCTCTTGTACAGAACTCTGACAACTTGCAAACATTGAAATTAAGTAATGAAAATTAACATAGCCAAAAATCCAGCAAACTAACAAATAAAGCAAAGCAATTTGATTACAGTAATAACAATGACAGCTAAACATTACATATCAGTCATTACACCTAACTTATGGGACATAGGACCCATGTCCCATTAGTCAGGACCTGACTTTTGGGACATGGATCCTTACTTTAGTTGTGCTGATCTGACAACAGCCAAAAATGCCTAGATGGAGTCACCCTGCAGCCATGGAGGGAAGGTAAACAGGTCGTATGGGATTACACGTGTGCATCTACATTGGCTGATATGTCCCATAAGATCCTGACTTATGGGACATGGCTCCTGACTTATGGGACATGGTTCCTGACTTATGGGACATAGGATCTGACTTAAGGAATGCCCCCACATTCTCTTGCCACAATTTTAGTTCTCATCGTTGCTTCTTCGTACAAATGGCTGTGTAATTTACACCCTGGAACAATTTAAACTTTTTCTCATTGCAGTATTAATTTTTTTTACCTGTTTTTGTGTCCTGCTTTCCTTTAACAATGTACTTAACCAGTGGAGTTGTCACCAACTAGTGCTTGTCTATCAGTGACATTAGGAAAATGAGAACTAGCTCTTTGTCACCACCATATTGTCTTTTGTACAGTATCTGTTGTCGTTTTTACATCTATTGACATTCAAGTTCTGCTTTTGTTGCAGGCGATGAGTCACAATAACGTGGCTTAAATATGTTGACCAAACCACACATTAGAAAGTGAAGGGATGACGACGTTTTGGTCCGTCCTGGACCGTTCTCAAGCAGAATAAACTTCTGCTTTTATTTTTAGTTGTTTTAAGTTGTAGATAGAAGCAGTTTTTACAATTTAGTGATTTCCACTTCCTGGCCATCTAAACAATGTATGAGTACAGGGGTACCTCAGTTTTCGAATTTAATCCATTCCCAGAGACACTTCGAAAACTGAAATGAATTTTCACATAAGAAATAATGTCAGTTGAATTAATCCGTTGCACACCCACAAAAATATTAACTAAAAAATACATTTTATACAGAATAATACTCATAGGTACCTTACCTTTATTGAGGACTCTTGTTGGTGTATGGAAGACAGTGAGGAAGGGGGTAGGAGGAGAGGTGTTAGTGTTTCCACTATAACAGCAGTGATGATATTTCTGGGGTATTCTCTTTCCTACATTTTGCAGGCATACCACTAGCACCTGGTTGTGGCTCATTGCTTGCTTGTGTTACTAAGAATCTGTCAATAGACACTTGTTTTTCTGTTTTAACATTTATCTGTAGTGAGACATCACATTGTCTCACTATGAATGATTTCTTGTTTTTCCTTTATCATCATCCTCACAAATATTTTCTTAGGTTGAACTTTACCATTGACTCTCTTGGAACCCATGACATGATATATAATAAGAAAATTATGTTCAGAAACCAAAAAAAAAGCACAAAAACAATGAAATTCTTCACAAAGAATTCAAGTGCGGTCGTCACTAGGTGGGAGACACTGGTAAACTGAAGTGCGTCATGTGCTCGGTCGACCCGTATGTGTATCAACAAACTCGAGCACTAGGGCAAACTTCAAGAACCAAGTCAAATTTTTCGAAGAAATTGAACTTGAAAACCGAAAAATTTGAAAACTGGGGCATTTCTAAAACAGAGGTTCTACTGTATTTTATTATATTTCTACAAGTGAAGTGCATATCCAGCTTACATTGGTGTTTTGTCACTATATATATATAGTGTCAGACCACGGAGACAAATTGAAACGGTAATTTCCTTAAGTACTTTTGTATATTAATACATCTTCAGAAGGAGTGATTTTACAGGTCAAGTATTGGACATATATAGGCAGGAGAGAATGGTGGAATGGGAATTGGTGTGTATGAATAGGAGCTGCATCGTATGGGCCAATAGGCCTTCTGCAGTTCTTGTGCGGCTCATATTTGTGTCCACCTAATTCCTATTCATTTGCCATTGTACCTCACCTCACTCCACCATTCTCTCCTGCCTATATATGTCCAATACTTGACCTGTAAAATCACTCCTTCTGAAGATGTATTAATATACGAAAGTACTTAAGGAAATTCCTGTTTCAATTTCCCCTGTGGTCTGACACTGTTCATTTTTAATCACGTGTTTATTTTTCGTGTTTTATAATATAATATAATATATACTGTATATCTCATCTTCATTGCCATCAGCATGGGTCATCATTACTATGACATTTGAAAATGGGATTTGATTATTTGAGTAATAAAATGTATGTAAATAATATGCTGAATGCAATTTTACATTTATTCATTTGTACATTTATAAAAATGTTATATTTTTGTTTACTGCTGCTATAGACTGTATTAGGTTATTTTATTAATTGTTACTGATGTGTTATGACATTCTGGTGTTTTTTATTTCCTTTTTTTATAATGACACTATAATGCCATATGTTTGGAAGTGCCTGTTTTTAACAAATGTAAACTTGATGAATACAAAATAATAAAGTTTGCATTTTAATATTTGTATTAATTTGATTATGCTGTATCGTTATAGCTTGTGAAAGCTTTGTATATATAAATTGCTTTATTATAATTTGGATACTGTAATAGACATTTAATAATAATTATTAATTTTGTCAGGGGACAGGCAGTCAGTGTATATATACAGGTTAGGCTTATATTGAAGCCCTCCTTCCCCCTCCCCCTCCCAAGGCTGAACTACTGACCTTCCTCGGGATGCAGCCCCACAACAAGCTGGCAAACTCTTGGGTACCTATTTTCTACTGGGTGGACAGAGGCATTAAGTGAGAGAAAACGTGCCCAACCATTTCTGTCCCGCCTGGGATTTGAACCTAGAATTCCCGATTGTTAGTCGAGAATGAACCCGAGGTGTGAGGTTGTTCGTGTTTGTTTCAGTTGTTACATTGAAGAGGCACTTCTAATTTGGAATATCAGTTGGCAATATATGCTGCTGGACCAATCAAAATGTTTACATTTGTGCTATTAATTTTGTAGAGGCCACAAAAAGGCTAAAAATCAAACTTAAGCATTCTTAGGCCTAGTATAGCATATGCATATTATTTTAGGCCTAAGATAGGATTGCTGTCATAGGTTAGGTTTGGTTAGGTTCTTAAGATACAGCTCCAATTTTCATTTGGGCTAATTCAGGAATATAAAATGTGAACTTTAGGGGGTCCAGCAATTCATATTGGACTAGTGGATTTTGGTGAGAGATACCATTATTTTACTTGAAATCACAAACCATGAAAAAACACATTCAATATATTACCAAATTCTATTATTTTTACATAAAATCATAAAGCGAGATTTTACCTTTTGATCATTAACATGCATATAAAAATATTGTTTCCAATACAAATGACAAAAATTAATGTTTTTTCATTAGAATTCACTGTAATATTGTGGATTTTCCATTTATTTTATCGAAAGAAGGTGTACAGATGGGGGCCCGGTCTCTGACCAGGCCTCCGACCAGGCCTCCTGCGGTTGGTGGTCTGGCCAACCAGGCTGTTATTTGTACACATTACACTATAAAAACTTAAATAATAAGTCATTGGGTTTTAACATTAGTAACTGAAATTAACCCAACTGATTTTTAGATTAGCCCAAAAGTAGCAAGATTACAAATTTAAGAGTGCTGGGCTTTCAAAGATAACCCAATTTGCTACTTTTAGCCCAATCTGGCAATAGATTGTAGAAATCAGGCATCTGCACAGCATCAAGGTTGAGCCAGGAATCCTAGTAGACCAGACTCACAGCTCATCATTTTCTCTTCATTCCATGTAAGACTAACCAACCTGTAAGATAGGGATATTGGAGAAAGTTATATCTTGCTCTTGGCCTATACCCTGTAATCCATCATATAGAACAGGGTAGCAGCAGATTAGTGAGTGTACCTCGGGTTGCTGATAACAATAAAAAGCTTGTCGAGGTGTCCACTAGGCCAACTTCTGACCTTTCTCAGGATGCAAACTGATGTAAATATTCATGCAGTCCTTGTGGTGTAATGGTAAGATTGGCATTTTGCGAGTGCTTTGTCTCGGGTTCGTATCCTGGCCAGGGAGGATTTACTGAATGTCGATCCTTAACTGTAGCCTCTATTTACCCAACAATATAATGGGTACCTGGTTGATAAATGAACACAGGATTAAGGACTTGTCCGAAATGTATGCGTGCTAGTGGTTGTACAGTTAGTTTAGTTCATTTATTATGCTGTACAAAATGTAAAAACTTGTGTGTGTACCATTATATATATATATATAATATATATATATATATATATATATATATATATATATATATATAAATAAATAAATTATAATTAAAATGTATAAAAAAATTAATAGAAAAAAAAACAAGATTTGCATAACTCCCTAACCCATATTACCCATATTTCATCCAAGTACACATTTTACTGTTGCGTTAAACAGAGGCTACAGTTAAGGATTGGCGCCCAGTAAATCCTCCCCGGCCAGGATACGAACCCATGACAAAGCGCTCGCGGAACGCCAGGCGAGTGTCTTACCACTACACCACGGAGACTGGTACATATATCCTGCTTGGTGAGTGGAAGAATTAGGTAAAAGGAAACTTGGCCGAGGGTCTTTGTCCTGCTGTGGGAATCAAACCCGGGACCTTTCGGCTGTGACCCGACTAAAATGAGCACTGCTGCTGTGCTTGTGCGGACTGACAGGAATGTGTAGAGTAGATCAGTAGAGTACAGTTCACAAAGCATGAACCCAAGACCAGCGGAGCCGAGCATTAGCACTCATATGACACGCAACTCAGACTACACAACAAGATTAACAAATCTAATATAAATAGCTGTGTAAAATATAATATCTCTCAGTGATGGTGTTATCGTACCCCGGCCTTGATCTCTGAGAGAATGTTTTGTACCCTCCTCAATGTCCTCCCCCCCCCTCCCCCTTGTGACCCCACCACGCTCTCCCTCACTACACCACCACGCTCCCCCCCTCCACCTCTCCCTCCCTACACCACTTCTCCCTCACTACATCACTTCTCCCTCACTACACCACCTCTCCCTCACTACACCACTTCTCCCTCACTACACCACCTCTCCCTCACTACACCACTTCTCCCTCACTACACCACTTCTCCCTCCCTACACCACCTCTCCCTCACTACACCACTTCTCCCTCACTACACCACTTCTCCCTCCCTACACCACCTCTCCCTCACTACACCACTTCTCCCTCACTAATCGGTTTACAATCAGGCCAATATGCCAATCGGGTTACAACTAGGTCCCCCAATTATTC